AATAATATAATCTATAAACTAGTTATAAGTAAAAGTAATTTTATAGTATTCATGTATTTATATTTAAATTTGTATTTAATTTAGATAAATTTTTACTGAGTTGTACATATTGAAAAAAATTTCAAATAATTTTGGGTATCACTATATGTCCAACAAAGTGCCCTTTCTATTTTAATAATGCTGAAAACTCAATTGGTTTTTTATTCTCTTCCCTTAAATCCCAACTCAAAAAAGCAGCAATCAATACAGCCAATATCCTCAATATAAAATTTATCAACTAATTACTAAAATTCCAAAGTACTATCAAACTTATATAGGCTTAACTTGCCTCTCATATAGGTATAATTCATCTCGATCCAGAATCCAATTAGTTCAAAACATTCTTAAATATACAAAACTTATATGAATCCCATGGTCTAGTCCCAAACCCCAAATCAACATTCTGGTTTCTCCACAATACCAATACAATAATTCAAGTTTGCAAAAGATACTAATTAGTATATGAAAGAACAGTACTTAAAGGAAAACACTTCACAACCAATTACAACAATAATTTTATCAAATGCCTAAGTTGCCCAATCAGTTCAATCTCTCATGGTTTCTGTTGATTAGAATTTACAAGCCTTTTTGTTTCAACATTATAGGTATTATTCAATCCATTCAATAGTCCAAAATATCATCTACACAATATACTAGAAAAAATTTCCAACTTATCACAAGATAGTAAACACATGTTACAAGAAATCAATATCTCTAACACTTTCAGCCTCCAAACCCTATCACAAAAAATTGGCTTACAGCATCATATTCATATTCAATTATATAAGAATAATCTAATTATAAACGATACTAAAGTTATATCTCTCAATTCATGCTTATCACCGAGTAACATTCTATATGCAATACTGGATATCACTCAGTAGAATCCATATTGTAATACTATCAAAATAAGAAGTAACAAGAGAGTCTTTTAATCAATCCCTGAGTACTCCAGAAGAATGGTTAAAATTATACATGTGGTGTAAATTATTTTGCTGTTAACTCAATTCCCAAAATCCCCAAAAATAATTGCATCATGACTCAATTATTTATATGTTTTAATAGTGACTTAATTAATTGTGTTAAATAATTGTGTCAATTGCATTAAGGATCTACAAATTTCAGCAACATGTATAAACTCTACCAATAGGACACTTCCGTCATACTTGAAGCATAGGTGTGCCAAATCCTTTTTGTGACTTGAAGGCAAATCTATATAAAGTGGCTGCAGTACCTTTATGCAAAAAGGTACTTATTTTTTACCACCTCTGATATTATTCCGCTTGCTGTACATCAAGCCATATTTGGAAAGCAGATGTGCCAATCCTAATCATAACTTGGAGGCCAATCTGTATAGATTGGCTACAGTGCCTTCATGTGATTAGATATTCATTTACTTCTAGGTAGCTAGACACCATTCATAAACATAATATAGATTTTTGAATTTTTTTTTTGTCTGTATTTCTTAAATGGTGCTAAAAGAGCACAAGAGTCTGGCCTCATATGGGAGCCTTGCATTAAACTCTTCCTAGCAAAGAGAGATATATGTCGTACTATTGAGTATTATACCTTGCTTTGCAAGTGAAAGTATAATAAATATAATAAAGCATGATAGCCATTTGCTCTTTTAAAAAAAAAATAAGATTTTTCTTTAATCTTAAAGAAAAATAAAACCAGTTCAAGCAGGAAAGGAAAAATATTAAATTATTTCTTTTATCAAAAGTATATCTTGTCATTTTGCTCTTATTGCCATTATCGATTATATTATTAAGTATAAGTTATATAAGATAAAATTTATAAAATTTATATATCTTATTTATACTTTTTGTTATATACAAATTAATCAATTTAAATTTTGAACCAATTATTATTCAGGAATTCCAGTGTAATCAAAAATTTAATATCAAACTAAGATAGGCAAAATTCTTTAAAAAAGTTAAAAAAAAAGTTTATATATTTTAAAAAATAGAAGAAGAACTTAAAAAAAATAAAAAAAAAGTTTTAAAAGTCTATAGTAATTTTTGCTAAAATCTTAAATCTTTAGAGGAAAGAAAGAGAATATTATTTTTACTGATTCTTTTTTCTAATAAAGTGTTTTTGCCTTTGACTTTATAGATAGGTTTTTTTTATATTTACTTGTAAAAATACAAGAAGTTTATTTCAAAAAGAGAAAGAAACAAGTAGGAAAAAATCAAAGTCTTTGGATAGTAATATTATTAAAGAAAATATATAGATTTTTTTATAAAAAAATATAAAATTTCTCTGGAATATCTGTTTTTGATGTTGACAAAAAAATCAATAGAAGAATATATTTATTTATATTATTATAAAAAAATTTTTAATTAACAATATAATTTTGAATTAAATATAATTTTTGAAAAATGTTTAAATTCAATTTTATTATATATATAATTATGATAATAAAATTTGTTATAATTTTATTTACAAATCAATTAAAATTATTAAAATAACTTTGAATATTTATTTAAATTATTTAATAAATTTTTCAACTATAATTTATATTTAATTAATAATAACTTAATTATTTAATAAATTTTTCAATTATAATTTACATTTAATTAATAATAACTTAATTATTTAACATAAAATATTTATTTAAAAAAATATTTTATCAAATTATCAATTATAATTATATATATTATTATTCTTTTATTAAGGTTTTTTGAATCAGTTTTACTTTTTTAAACTAAATAAACTCTTTATTCTTTATCTATATTAATCAATTTCTTTTGATATTTTGCAATACTCTTGAATTAAATTCATTATATTACACATAATTTATTATACTTGTTTGAGCCTCATTCTATATACAGTATATAGTTATTTTATTATGTATTTATTTAATTATAAATAAAAAAATTTTTGAATTTTTTTTTATTACTACTATATCTATTTACTAAAATTAAAATTAAAATTTATTTGTAAAATATTAAAAATAATTTTATATAAAGTGTAATTATTATAATATTTTACAATTTATGAAATTATTAAAACTTCAAAATTATATTTTTTGCTACTATAAGTAACTAGAAATAAAAGATACCGATAGTAAGTAAAAACGAGGCAAAGGTATAAATATTTATAATATGTAACCATTTTCTTAATGGTCTATCATTTTGATTTTATTGGCTAACGATGTAATGTTTCGATACTTAAACTTTTAATCTAAAATTTCTTCAAAAGTTTCAAATTCTTATGAAGAGAATTCATACAAATATACTTCAACAATTTATTGAATAAATAATTCTGGAGTTTCATTTTCCACAAACATGGCAGTCTTCTTTACAGTTTCATTCCATTCTTGTAACCTCTGCCTCATACCATCAATTTGATTCTTATCAAGAACACGCGGTTGGACCCATGTCACTACAACTTTTTCATCAACTTGATCAATGGATCCACGGACCAATTTTAGAGAAAGTGCTTTCATTACCAGATATTCCACCTTTGTAAGGATTTGATTATATTAGAAATAATCAGATATGTATATTCAAACATTAATTACTTTCATACCTCGTCTATAGGCAACCTCGTTTCTGCAGCAATATCTGCAAAAGGTATCGTTCTATTATCAGAGCTTCTCTTGAATACTGCTTCAATCAGTGACATCAAACAGATTTTTTGACGTAAAAACGCGATAGTATCTTGAAGTAAAGCCTATAAATAATAATAATAAGTTAATATACCGGTTATATTTTTACTCCATTATTTTTTCAATTACCTGCTGCGTAAAGTTAACTGCTAACATCTCAAATTTTCCAATATCACCGGCATTAAACGCAAATAACAAATTTTTGAGCCATTCGTGAGGAGTATTTGATAAAGCGTCAAGTATTGGGTGCATTAACTTAAATATTAACAAACCGCGATTTTCATTAACTTGACGAATAGTTTGCTAAGTTGAAACTTATAAAAACGCAAACAAACCAATTCTCCAAAATTATAAATAGTATCTCCCAAGAGAGCACTAATGGCCAAGTCATATGCTCTTTCGACTTTTTCTTCAGAAGTCAAATCTTCTAATTGAATACATGCGAGATAAAGCAATGCATTTTTATAATATTCGGTATATTCCGCCTTCGCCTAATGTTAACAGATAATGAAAATCTGAATTATTCGCGTTAGTGATCTTGACGGAAATTGATATACGATGAATCAACTGATGATTTTTGTTACCTTGTAAAAATCTGCGCAAACACGATAAAAACTCGCGTGAATGGCTGTTTCAACCGAATCAAATTTTTCAAGGATCTTTTCACATTCGTCTATAGCGGATTTTGTGCCATCAAGATCATTTAGCATAAGCTTTATATAAGCTGTCTCCATTACAGCATGAACATATGCTTCACGAGAGTCTGGAGTATCCACTTTTCCAACAAGTGATGTTAGAAAAGCCAAGGCTTCATTATAGCCTGATTATGAAATTAGATTCGCGAAAAGAAAAAAATTAGTAACTAATATCCGAAGTTTGAAATACGTGACATTAAAGTACACACCACTGAACTGTTTCATGACACTAAGTCCTAGAGTTACTAATTTAAGCTTATTCATCTTATTTTCCCAATCAGATATAAAATTTTGAAATAACTGGATCTGGAAAGGACCCGAGGCAGGTATTGCAAAAAATTCCTCAATTTTTAAAGTAAGTTGGTGCCATAGCTTGCGGTCATACAAGTCTTCAAACGTATTTAAATACTCTTGCAGTTCCGCTGGACAACGTTTTCGAATTTCGTTCAAAACCGCAATCGGGTTTTGATCCAAGTCCATTTTAGTTTCCTGTGGAAAAGACATTTGAAGATATTGTAGATGACGTTACGTTTGAAACATCTTGAAAAATTGTTGTTGTGTTGCACGTGACATAATATTGGGACTGTGACTTTAATTTATTGATTTTAATATAATAGTATTAAGCAGACATGAACTATATTCTTGAGATAATCAAATGATTTTATGCAAAAAATAATTTACAAGTCAATAATAACAATTATAATAAATTTTATTAAAAATTAAATAAAAAAAAATTAAAAAATTAATTATAAGTATTATTTAAAATTTTAAATATAATTTAACCTTACTATAATGAATCTGTTAAGCTGAAAAAATACTATCATTAAAGTGAATATCTACTATTACATTATATAATGTAATAATAAAAAATTAAATTTGTTTTAGAATATTATTTCATTATTATAAAAAATTTAATTTAATAAAATTTATTATAATAAGATTAAATTATATTTAATTAATTAATAAAAATTAAATCAAATATATGTATATATATATTTTTATAGATAAATATCATTTCTTTATAGACCTGTGAATCTATAGCACAGTAGTTAGTGCTTCACAGGTCAGATTATAAGATAATGATTCAAATCCTCCAGAGGGCTAATATGAAACCTCTGAAAAAACCAAAGAAGAAAGGATCGGCATTTTCTGATTACTGTTACAAGATATCAAGTCCAGTTCCAGGTAAAGGCAATTGGACCATCTCAATACAATATCTGGTGCCATAACCTAACATATGCTGTTTTCCATAAGAAGCCAATTCACAGGTTGATCCAATAGGCATTGGAATTGTGATATCAAGAAAAGGTGTAGTAGCATAATAATCATTTGGCAGTGTTATGATGATCATTGTCAAGTTTAATACTTTCTCTGTTCCTTATGCATGGAACATACTTCCTTATCCCTTTAATCCACGAGACTATAAAAGAAACAACCCAAGTTTTCATGTGATTAAAGCTAGAGCCATAAAGACTCCTTGTTGGATATGACTTAATTCACGGCTGATCATATTAGAATATGGTTCTTCAAGTTTCCATTTATTGGAATAGTAGACAGGACTAGAAGACGCACATTCTGATACATTAGCACTCTACCTATACGATCAAGACTCCGGTGCTGATAATATAGAAAGAATGAAGGGCAATAAGTTGACTGGTAAATAAGGGTAATCCAAATCTTAGGTAGTTCTATTTGAAAATTAGCAGTAGTAAATTTGTAAATATGAATTTATATATATTACTATAAATAAATCATATTATAATATGAACCCACTCTCGAGATGTAAGTTGATACCTGGATTAGAATAAGGGCAGGGTCATCAGTTAATTAGTGATAGCTTAGACTGTTCATGTAATGGTAACTTGTAAATCATATGATTTATGAAATAAAATCCACACATGTATCATACCTTAGCCCTTAAAAAAAAAAAAAAAAATCAGATTATAATATTAATTAATTTTTATATATATTAAATTATATTGAAATTTCTTTAAATATTGATTATTATTATTAACTTGTTCTATTGAATAAAAGTTGAAATTAATATGTTAAAATTCTGCTATTATTATGTTACTAATATATTTACTGCTTTATTTTTTGTTAAAAGAAAGTAAAAATAAAGTAAAGAAATGTATTAGGAGTAATATCCCATTGTTATAAATAAAGCACATATAGAAATTTTATTTGCTTTTATCAAAATTATTTTTCTTTACTATTACCTGTAGCTAAACTAATCATTTAATTTCTTATTAATTTAAATGTTACTTAAGAATATTCAAAATAGACTTATAATTAGTTTTTACTATCTAAATAGTTTTATTGCTATTGCTGCTAAATTGATTTTATTATCAAATATTTTTTTGAGATAAGTACTATCAGACTGATTTATTACTGGATTGAAATAAAACTTGAATAGGTTCTATAAAGAAAAGACATTAGATATTAAGAAAACAATTATTAAACCTATTAGTTAAAAATAAATACTTTATATATTTTATAGCTTTTAATAATTATTATAGTATTAACTGAATAATTATTATATTATATTATCTTTTCTGAAGATTACAATCTTAATACCTGCTAAATCAATATATAAAACAGCTTTTTATAAAAAACAATGCTTTAACAAGTTATAATATCAAATATCATATTAATTTTGTTTTAATTATTCTTATATAAAGTCAAACCAGTATTTTGTGATTTGATCTGTTTAGTATTAACTATTATACTATGGATTTACAGATCAATTTTTTAATAATTATATATATTGTTATGGTGAAATTATAATGAGTTAATTACTTTGATTTGCTTATGTTATATAACAATTAAACGGTTTCTGCTCAAAAAAGGCATGTGAATTTGATCAGAGTTTAGAATACTAATGCAGATCAGTCCATTGATCTGATGTTCTAACTGATTATTTCATGTGCAACAATTTTGTTAGCTATGTAATACTGGAGTCAATAATAAGGCAATAGTTTATCAAATAAAGATGGTTTTTATTTAACAATTGTGCAATATCTATTTTGATTCTTCCTACTTTTTGACTATTTTCAGGTTATTTATATATATTTTTACTTTATACTGTTACTAAAATTTTTGAAAATTTTATTAACTTTGGATAAATACAACCATATATTATCAGCATTTATTAATATTTAT